TATATTTATTTTTGAAGATTGTAAAAATAAAAATTGCATACTGTTTTTATATAAAAAAAAACTTGAATTGTTGAAATTTATCATGACAAGTAAATTGTGCCGTTAAAGTCCCACCAAAAAAGAGGACTCCCCCGCCCCTTGTATTCGTTAGGGATGTTGGCACTTTGTGTATTATATCCCTTCCTCTCTCTATTACTGTACAATAATACGTACAATAAATAAACGTGCCATTAAAGTCCATGGATCTTTATCTTCCTATCAGCCACGGCCACACAAACCATTACAGATCACCATCCAGAGTGCCACCACCTTTATGAAATGTTGATCACCACACAGTTTTCACCACCAAATTACAGGCAGGTTAGTATATGCTCAAAGTGACTCTAAAGGCTAAAGTTTTTTTTCCTTCATGCATTCTGTGCATGAAAGTAAAATACCTTCATTGGGGAGCTCCCCCCCCTCCTTTCCAAATACTTACCTGAGCCTGATCTTGATCCAGCAATGTACATGAGAGCAGCAGCTCTGCCGGGTTTCTTCATCTTCATTGGCTCAGACACAGTAGCAGGGGTGAGGTCAAACCAGGCTCTGTGTGTCTTATAGATGCACAGAGGTGGCTCGAGAGAAAGCATGTATGAGTTCCCCCAGAGCAAGCAGCTTGCTCTGGGGGCACTCAGCAGGGGGAGGAACCAGAAGTGGATGACCGGGGCTGCTCTGAGAAAAATCATTGCACAGAGCAGGTAAGTATGACATTTGTTATTTAAAAAACATCTGAAACTTTAGTATCAGAAGTTTAGGGATTAAAACAAAAATCTAACCTCTATGCTGCAGCATCAGTCTGATGCTGCAGCTGTCCCTCCAAAGAACTGAAATACCACATGACTGCTGATCAGTCTTCTTGTAGTGGAGAGGGGTGACTATCAGTCACCGCTCTCTGTTCTGCTCCTCCAGTGCTCGCTGGAGCAGCTGGCTGGCGGGGCACGCTGAGAGCCAGAGCTAGCTGTCAATCAGACAGCTGGGTGAATCCTGACAATATTATTATTATACATTATTTATATAGCGCCAACAGTTCGCTCAGTGCTGTACATTACAATGGGAGACAATACATGAGACAGTACAATAACAATACAATGCGATACACAAGGGGTTTGAGGGCCCTGCTCCTTGGAGCTTACAATCTAGGAGGGAGGGGATGGTGGCACGGGAGGAGATAGCTGTGGGGGATGGAGTGGTAGGAAGAGTGGAGGAGATCGGCAATTAGCAGAGGGCGGGGTAGGCTTCCCTGAAGAGATGGGTTTTCAGGGTGCGCCTAAAGGAGAGGAGAGTAGATGATAGTCTGATGGATTGGGGTAAGGAGTTCCAGAGGATGGGTGATGCTCTGGAGATGTCCTGGAGACGGTCATAAGAGGAGGAGACCAGGGAACTAGAGAGGGAGGTCTTGTGAGGAGCGGAGTGTGCGTTTTGGGTGGTATTTGGATATCGGGTCGGTGATGTAGTTCGGGGCAGTATGGTGGACGGCTTTGTACGTCAGTGTTAGGATTTTGAATTTGATCCGTTGGGCAATCAGAAGTCAGTGGAGGGATTGGCAGAGGGGGGTGGTGGCGGAAATGGAGCGGTTGGTGAGGTGGATGAGTCTGGCTGCCGTATTCAGGATCGACTGAAGTGGGGATAGCCAGCGGCGAGGCAGGCCAGTGAGGAGGGAGTTGCAGTAATCGAGTCGTGATATGATGAGGGAGTGGATGAGTTGCTTTGTAGTTTCCAGGGTTAGGAACGTGCGGATTTTGGCAATGTTGCGGAGGTGGAGTCTGCATGAGTTTGTTAGTGATTGGACTTGGGGCTGGAAGGATAGATTGGAGTCCAGAATGACACCAAGTACTCTGGCCTGCGGGGTGGGCCTGATGGTGGCATTGTTGGACATGATGGAGAAGTCAGTGGGGGGTGGTGTGCGGGCTGGGGGGAAGACAAGAAACTCGGTTTTGGAGAGGTTCAGTTTAAGGAAGTGGAAAGACATCCAGTCTGATATGTCGCTCAGTATGATTGGGATCCTTCCAGAGCCTAGAGCGGCTCTGTGATGTCAGCTGGCAGCGGGCGGTATCTCACTATAAGCTGGCTCTAGGTCACAGGACAGCAGAAGTAAATGCACTCCTGTGACCCAGAAGGGAAGTGTGACCAAAAAAGCTTCGGCCATACATCTCTTTTAAATGTATCCACCATGTTATCCAGGGATGGTCATCCCGCATTTACCTCAGCTTCCCAAGGAGGCTTATGTAATAAGGTGCTCCAAAAAGATGGAGAATTCGCAAGAGTCAGATAGCTTTTTAAAATATATTAAACATATAAAACAAAAGAAAACTCCCATTTTCATGGTGAAACATAGCACCAATTAATAGCGCTCCATAGGTTCTTCACTTATAGGCTCCTGGATAGCAGCTGCCACTGACAGACAGACTTCCAGTTGTAAATACATCACTGGATTCCTTTGCTACACATTTCATCTTCAGACCTCCTCAGGAAAAGTCACCTAAACCACTTCCAGTCCGGGAAGTGTATACATATGGCCATACGGGAGCAGCGCCGATGTGGGTGGACAGACCCGTACATCCCCCACAATCAGCAGTTCATGCACGGCTTACAGAGCACACATCCAAAGCCCGGTGATCGCTGTGTCCCCTGGATGCAATGGATCACACGACTGGGTACAGGACCAATAAAATACCAGTGCCAACTAGCTCAGTGTCCCTGATAAATAGCCCCCATTGTAGTATAAATACCCAGTGCAGCCTATCACATGTCACACCTGTCCCAGTGCCACCAGTGCTGCCAGAACAGTATACCTTATCACTAGCTACACCAGTCAGTGTCACCAGACCATTGCCACCAGCCAGTGTTGCTGATTGTAGTGATGCCAGATCGATATACACCATGCCAGTACCCTGATCACAGCCATATTAGAGTCCTGATCACTGCCACAATAGTGTCATGATCCCCATCATACCCTATACCAGTGTCCTGCTCACCACTATACCAGTGTTCTGATCACTTCTATATTAGTGTCCTGATCATCACCATACCAGTGTCCCGATCACCGTCATACCAGTGTCCTGATCACCACCATATTAGTGTCCTGATCATCACCATACCAGTGTCCTGATCACTGTCATACCAGTGTCCTGATCACCGTCATACCAGTGTCCTGATCACCACCATACCAGTGTCCTGATCACCACCATACCAGTGTCCTGATCACCACCATACCAGTGTCCTGATCATTGCCATACCAATTTCTCGATCATTGCCATACCAGCATTCTGATCACCGCCATACCAGTGTCCTGATCACCGCCATACCAGTATCCCAGTTATTGCCATACCAGCATCCTTATCACTGCCATACCAAAGCCTGATCACCACCACTATATCTGTGTTCCTATCACTTCTATACTAGTGTCTTGATTACCACCATATCAGTGTTCCAATCATCGCCATACCAGTGTCCCGATCACCACCATACCATTGTCCTGATCATCGTCATACCAGTTTCCCGATCATTGCCATACCAGTGTCCCAAACATTGCCACACCAGTGTTCTAATCATCGCCATACCAGTGTCCCAAACGTTGCCACACCAGTGTTCTAATCATCGCCATACCAGTGTCCCAATCACCACCATACCATTGTCCTGATCATCGCCATACCAGTTTCCCGATCATCAGCATACCAGTGTCCCAAACATTGCCATATCAGTGTCCCAATCATTGCCATACCAGTGTCCCGATCATCACCATACCAGTGTCCTGATCACTACGACACTAGAGTCATGATCACCACCATACCCCATACCTGTCACACCTGTCTTAGTGTCACCAGTGGTGCCAGTGTACCTTACTAGCTACATCAGTCAGTGTCACCGGACTAGTGGCACTGATTGCAGTGTCCTGATCATGGCCATACTTGAGTACTGAACACTGCCACAATAGTGTCATGATCACCACCATATCCCATAGCAGTGTCTTGATCACCACTACCATACCAGTGTTCTGATCACTGCCATACCCGTGTCCTAATTACCGTAGTACCAGAGTCCTTATCATTGCCATACTAGTGCCAGTGTCAACAGAGCCAGTGCTCCAAATGGTTTCCACTGTCCTGGTGCTTCAGGACCTCCAAAAAGGTAGTCAGGAAAGTGTAATTTTTTTTCATAATACATTTCTATTTGGTTTTACAAATATAGTTACACCAAAAAAAAAACAAACAAAACACAAGAATAGGACAGTGAAAAGCTACACAATATCAACAATATCACAGTATAGGTGCTGCGGTAAAGTTTAACAAAGATAAAAAGGAAATATTGAATAATTCCTAACAGTCCTACTAGTTCCACAAAATAATCATTTTAGAGTATCCAAGAAAAGGTTAAACATAATAATATCTTAGGTTACAGTTCTGAACCAGTCGGACCAGGCTTTCCAAGCTTTGTCAAATTTAGTAATTCTATAGTTTAGGTAAGATAAACATTTCTCATAGATGAAGTGGCTCTGGACTAGCTCCATGACTTCTTTTAGAGAAGGGGCTAAGTCTTTTTTTGCAGTGTCTGGTAATGGTAAGTCCTGATGTTAGAAGAATATGTGTCACTAAAAGTCAATAATGGATTGGATATGTATCTATATTTATATTCAGAATGGCTAGGGTAGTATCAAGTTGTTTTAATTACTTCCTGCCCAGCCTATAGTAAAATGACGACCGGGCGAGCCTCTTGTCCCTCCGGGAGGGCGTCATATGATGCCCTTCCCGAATCGTGCCTTGCGCGTGCCCGCAGGGCTGCACTGTGGTGAGATCTGTCACCGGCTGTGTACCTCAGACACGGCAGATGACAGATCTGTATACTGGCCCCATTGGCAGTACCATGTGACCTGCTGTGACCAATCACAGCAGGCCACATGACAGTTGTATACAATGGATGGCTTCCTTTCATGCCATCCATTGTATACAAGTGTGTCTAGCTGTGAATGGTCACAGTGACAGGGATGTATTTACCACAAGGCAGACAAGGCATTTGCCTAGGGCGGCATTGTTCAGGGTGGGGTATCATTTTCCCACGGAAGAAGTGACACACACGGCATGGGGACCTGGTGGGTTCCAAGACAGGCTGTGGGTTTCATGACGGTGTATGCACAGCCCGACTCTCGTTCTCGAGGATGTCCAGAGTTGTGAAGGTGAGTGTCTTTCTTTCTTGCCATGGGGGATGGTAGCTGGTGTATGGGGGGCAGTGGTAGTGGAAGGCTCTCTTGGGTGGCAGGCAGGGGTGTTGTTGGTCAATGTCAGGCTCTCTCTGCGGGGGGGGGGCGCTGATTTTTGTGTTTGCCTAGGGCAGTACAACACCTAAATACACCACTGCACAGTGATCACATGCACAGGCTGGGCCAATCACAGCCCATCTGTGTCATGTGGTTAGCCATGGCCAATCACAGCTAAGCACAACAAAAAACCTGAATGAATCGATTTCATTCAGTTAAATGCTTGCTTATAGCAAAGAAATTCTTTGCTATAAGCAATTAAATTGTGTAAAACTAAATATAAATATTTGAAAATTTAAAAAAAATTGAAAGAAATTTTTTTTTTTTCGTACTGTCACCAGTCAGTGTCTTTGATCACCACCACACCAGTCAAATGATGACGCTGTACTGCACTGGTGACAGTATGTGAAATTTTTTTTTTTTTCTAAATTTCTTCATTTTCCAAAAAATTATGACAAAAAAATTACAACTTCAAAAAACTTGCCATGCCTTTTACTAAATACCTTGGACTGTCTACTTTGCAAAAAGGGGTCATTTGGGGGATATCTGTACTGTTCTGACATTTGGAGGATATCTGTACTGTTCTGACATTTGGGGGATATCTGTACTGTCCTGACATTTGGGGGATATCTGTACTGTCCTGACATTTGGGGGATATCTGTACTGTTCTGACATTTGGGGGATATCTCTACTGTCCTGACATTTGGGGGATATCTGTACTGTTCTGACATTTGGGGGATATCTCTACTCTTCTGACATTTGGGGGATATCTCTACTGTTCTGACATTTGGGGGATATCTGTACTGTTCTGACATTTGGGGGATATCTGTACTGTCCTGACATTTGGGGGATATCTGTACTGTTCTGACATTTGGGGGATATCTGTACTGTCCTGACATTTGGGGGATATCTGTACTGTTCTGACATTTGGGGGATATCTGTACTGTCCTGACATTTGGGGGATATCTGTACTGTCCTGACATTTGGGGGATATCTGTACTGTTCTGACATTTGGGGGGATATCTGTACTGTTATGACATTTGGGGATATCTGTACTGTTCTGACATTTTTGGGGCCTCAAGAAATTAGATTGGACGTCAGTACTTCAGGATTGATCAATTTTCAGATATATCCCATAGTTTGTGAACTCTATAACTTTCCTACAAACTAAATAATAAATACTGATTTTAGTTATTTTCACCAAAGACATGTAGCAGAATACATCTTGGCCTAAATTTATGAAGAACAATTCTTTATTTGCAGACTTTTAGAACAGAAACAAAGAAAAACATGTTTTTTTTTTATTTGAAAATTTTTGGTCTTTTTTTGTTAATTTAGCAAAAAAAATAAAACCCCCGGCGGTGATTACATACCAACAAAAGAAAGCTCTAGTTGTGTGAACAAAATGCAAAAAATTTAGTTTGGATACAGTGTTGTATGATTGCGCAATTGTCATTCAAAGTGTGAGAGCGCTGAAACCTAAAAATTGGCCTGTGCAGGAAGGGGGTAGAAGTGCCCGGTATTAAGTGGTTGATATCCCAGTAATTTCCGATATCATGTGGAAAACTTTATACCAATAGCTTCTAATGTTTTTACATGTCCATAATATACAGTTGCAAGAAAAAGTATGTGAACCCCTTGGGATTACGTGGAGTTTTGCATGAATTGGGCATAAAATGTGCTCTGAATGTCATCTAAGTCACAACAATAGAAGAACACAGTCTGCTGAACATAATACTACACAAACATTAGATGTTCCCATGGTTTAATTGCACATAACATGTAAACATTCGCAGTGCAGGGAGGAAAAAGTATGTGAACCTTTGGACTTAATAACTGGTTGACCCTCCTTTGGCAGCAATAACTTCAACCAAACGTTTCCTGTAGTTGCAGATCAGACCTGCACAACGATCTGGAGTCATTTTGGACTACTCCTCTTCACAAAACTGTTTCAGTGTAGCAATATTCTTGGGATGTCTGGTGTGAATCGCTCTCTTAAGGTCATGCCACAGTATTTCAATCGGGTTGAGGTCAGGACTCTGACTGGGCCACTCCAGAAGGCGTATTCTGTGCTGTTGCAGCCATTGTTTTGTTGAATTACTTGTATGCTTTGGGTCATTGTCCTGTTGCATCACCCATCCTCTGCGGAGCTTAAGTTGGCGGACAGATGGTCGTACGTTTTCCTGCAAAATGTCTTGATAAACTCTGGAATTCATTTTCCCATCAATGACAACAATCCGTCCAGGCCCTGAGGCAGCAAAGCAGCCCCAAACCATGATGCTCCCTCCGCCATGTTTTACAGTGGGGATGAGGTTTTGATGTTGGTGTGCTGTGCCTTTTTTTCTCCACACATAGTGTTGTGTGTTCTTCCCAAACAACTCAATCTTGGTTTCATCTGTCCACAGTATATTTTGCCAGTAGTGCTGTGGAACATCCAGGTGCTCTTTTGCAAACTTCAAACGTGCTGCAATATTCTTTTTGGACAGCAATGGCTTCCTCCGTGGTGTCCTCCCATGTACTCCATTCTTGTTTAATGTTTTCCTTATTGTAGATGTGTCAACAAAAATGTTAGCATGTGCCAGAGATTTCTGTAGGTCTTTAGCTGACACTCTGGGATTCTTCTTTACCTCATGCAGCATTCTGCGCTGTGCTCTTGCAGTCATTTTTACAGGACGACCACACCTAGGGAGAGTAGCAACAGTGCTAAACTTTCTCCTTTCGTAGACAGTCTGTCTTACCGTGGACACATGAACATCAAGGCTTTTGGAGATACTTTTGTAACCCTTTCCAGCTTCATGCAAATCAACAATTCTTGATCGTAGGTCTTCTGAGAGCTCTTTTATGCAAGGCATGGTTCACATCAGACAGTGCTTCTTGAAACCAGTAAACCCAAAACAGGTGTGTGTTTTTTAAGGGCAGGACAGCTGTCAGCAACACATCCAATATCATCACACTGATTGGAGTCAAGGTTGGCTCACTCCTGGCTCCAATTAGCTCTGGGAGAAGTCATTAAGCTAGGGCCTCACATACTTTTTCCTCCCTGCACTGTGAATGTTTATGTTATGTGCAATGAAACCATGGCAACATCTAATGTTTGTGTAGTATTATGTTCAGCAGACTGTGTTCTTCTATTGTTGTGACTTAGATGACGTTCAGAGCACATTTTATGCCTAATTCATGCAAAACTCCACGTAATCCCAAGGGGTTCACATACTTTTTCTTGCAACTGTATGTAATAGAGTACCAATCTGACCTCAGTTTCTCCAGCATTGCAGACTATGTTGTTCTGAGAATTTGGCCATTTGGTAAGGAGTTAGGTACCATCTTGTGGAAATTTTGTGCATTTGCTCCCAAAGGTTAACACATCTAGTAGCTGAAAACACATTCCTGAGTGCACATTCCCACTGCTCATTAGAAATCTCAGTCTCTAAGGCTGGCCATACACTATATAATTTTCTGTCCAATTTCTGCTCAATTTCCTTTAGAGTTACCTTCAACTATGTAGTGCAAGAGTCGGCCTAATTGGATACAATTGAAAGTGTTGTTAGGTTTGACCTCCTATTATATGGTTTTTGGTAAATCTATACCAAAAATCTCAAGAAAATGGTATAATGTATGACCAGCCTAAGTCTTTTTCCCACTTGACTAAGGGAGTAGTCTCGTTAAATTCTGATTGACATTGTAGAAGGTTATAAAATAGGGTGATACCACCTGATTTAGGAGTAGCGGAGCTATAGGACTGTAAAGATACTTTGGGTGTATATATTGTTTTTACTGGATGTTTCGATAGCCAACGACTGATGCGTGTATAGGTTGATTTTTCAGAAGGGTGGAGGTTTAATTCTTTCATAAGGAATTCAAAACTTTTTATGAGGTTTTTAACACAAATATCTTGTATTGTGCATTTGCCATTATGTTTCCAATTTGAGATATCTATGCTAGGCATTATGACTTCTAAGACTGTTGTAGGTATAGGAAGAGGACTTATTCGGAGAGGATCTATAGGCATGGAGCTTAAGGATTTCCAGGCTTCAATTGAGGCGCGTACATTTGGTGTTGTTTTACTAGTGGGAATCCTTTGCCATGAGCTCGCTAGTATTATTATTATTTATTATTATTATACAGGATTTATATGGCGCCAACAGTTTGCTCAGCGCTTTACAGTATAACAGGAGACAATACAGCAACAATACAGTTTAATACAAGAGGGTTAGGAGGGCCCTGATCCTTGAAGCTTACAATCTAAGAGGGAGGGGCTAGTGGTACAAAAGGTAATAACTGTGGGGGATGGACTGGTAGGCGGAATAGAAGATACCATTATTAGCTGAGGGCAGGATTGGCTTCCCTGAAGAGATAGGTTTCAGAGATCGCCTAAAAGTGAGCAGAGTTGACAATAGTCTGATAAATTGGGGTAGAGAGTTCCAGAGGATGGGGGAAGCTCTGTAGAAGTCCTGGAGATGAGCATGGGAGGAGGAGACAAGGGAGCTAGAGAGCAGGAGGTCGTGTGGGGAAACGGAGAGTACGGTTTGGGTGATATTTGGAGACAAGATCGGTGATGTAATTTGGGGCAGAGTTATAAATGGCTTTATATGTGATTGTTAATGTTTTGAATTTTATCCATTGGGCAATGGGAAGCCAGTGAGGGATTGGCAGAGAAGGGTGGAGGACACTGAGTGGAGGCCAGTGGAGGGAATGGCAGAGAGGGGTGGAGGACACTGAGTGGAGGTCAGTAGAGGGATTGGCAGAGAGGGATGGAGGACACTGAGTGGAGGCCAGTGGAGGGATTGGCAGAGAGGGATGGAGGACACTGAGTGGAGGTCAGTGGAGGAATTGGCAGAGGGGGGTGGAGGACACTGAGTGGAGGTCAGTGGAGGGATTTGCAGAGAGGGGTGGCAGATATGGAACGATTAGTAAGGTGGATGAGTCTGGCAGCAGCAGTCATGATAGACTGAAGAGGGGATAGCCTGCGATGAGGTAGTATGGCACTTAAGTCTGTAGAAGAGGCTAGAGTTTTTTCAATGTCACCCCATTTTGTATCATCTTCCACTATAAACCAATGTTTGAGTTGGTC